ACATGAACAAAGGCGTCGCCAAGCTCACGTCGCGATAAAAAGCAAACGATTAATTAATGTAAGCGTTACATGTTGTGTGACTCGGTGTCAGCTTACGGAGGAACAGTTGAGAATTTGAACATGCTATAAGGAATAGCATGGGGAACGAAATATGGTCGATTTACAACGATAAATATTTCGAAATATGAACATCTTACAGGTTAAATCAAAATAATTTATTCACATCTTTTGTGTCCGTTGTGGTTTCCGGCGTTCTCTGCCGTTTTAAGCTTGCTTTACCGACTTTTTTAAGAGTTTCTTTAAGAGCCTTAACGACTCTTTGTGAGTTTCTTTTAAGATTTTAATTTCTTTAAAAAAAAAAAATTAGCCATTGTTATCAAAAGTCACCAACCCATGATGGAGTATGGTCATATCATATGTTAACCCTCCCTTTCCAGGAGACAAATATTGACTGGTCCACAAGGAACCAATTTCAGAAAAAAAAACTCCTCTCTCCACAACACGTATGTTAAATTACATCTCCAAAGACAAAGCTACCATAATATTTCAACAGACTTGAATTCCATGGAATTTATAAATACTCGTTACTCAACTTACTCTTTCTTAATTTAATGAAAGTGTAATTCGCGAGGAATCCTCGTCCCTCATTCTCTCTGTCTGATTCGAATTTGACCCACATGTGTCGTCCTTCGGAATAAACAGTGCTCGCCTTAGCTTCACAATATCTGCCAATAAGAGGGCCAGTGGCTTTTGCTCCATCTCTGAGTTCAACATAGTCACAACTGCACATAGCGCAGTACTCGAGGTCAACGGAATTGATCATGAGCTTCACTTTCCAGTGTTGTGGGGCAGTTATCACCCAGATGCAAATGGTGCTGTTGGGATAGTGTGTTTCATTGTAGCCTGGACTCATTAAAATTCCCTCAGAAGCTGTTAAGTTTCGTCCGCCGGGACAGGTAACTGATGGATATAAGAACAAGGACTCGCTATCATTCAAGGTACATGTATGTTTATACCTCAATTTGAACGTAAAAACGCAGAAATTGCTTTTGATAGCGCGTGCATTGTTAGCTAAGGCAACTTCAGATCGAAATCAACTAACGCATCAATTAACACACAAGTTAATCCGAGTGTGAAAAACTTTCCTTGTTGACCTTCATCAAAACACACCAACAAAGAATAATAACGCAAGGCTTGGTATTGGGTTCCTTGCGTGACGCTCCAAATGAAGGCCCAAGATTGCGTATCCAAGAGCCATAAGTCATCTTTTAAACAACGGATCTTTTTAGAATTACAGAGCACAAGTGGGGCAAAGAACCTCTCGCTAATTGTTAGTGTTGTTCTGAATGCCGCTTGTCATTATGGTGGTCATTGTGAGAACCAAGGAAAGTTGCAGTAAAAAATTGCATGCTTATTTCTACCGTATAGCTTACTTACTAGTTCCATTTCCGTAAAGAGTATTACTTGCCAGTATGCCTATGAAAAATGATTAAGCTTAGATATCACATCTTTTTTTCATTTAGATCAGCCATAACGATGTAAATGAAGGAGTGGTGAAGAATAGTGAGTGAATGTTTATTGCATTTATCAAACGACTAATATTCGATATGAACATCAGCTATGTTCTGCACGATTTGCGAGACAAAAATATCAGTACTGCTTGTATGTATTCAGAAAAGACAACACAAAGCATTGGTACATAAAATTAATGAATTGGATTTTTGCAAAATTGCTTCGAACTGCCTCGAAATTTCATCTTCAAGGAAAGCTCTTTTCCAAAGTTATTTGACAAATATCAAGCAATTGTCAAAAACAACCATCGTTAGCGACTTAAAACTGGTTGACATGGTTTTTATAAGATTGCAGTTAAGAATAGGTTATCCTTGAAAGAGTACAGAGCATCTAGTGATAAATGCAATAAAAACTGGTTAAAATCGGCTATCTGCATGTAAGCTAGATAGTTATCGTTGTTGTGACTAACTCAAAACCCATGTAAAACATCTTCTCGGGGGATGGGTGCCACAAAAAAGTAAGGTGGACCGAACAATCTAAATAGATTTTTT